TTCTTTTTTGTGAGGTCTCTGGCTGGTGCCACCCAGTGGCTTAAAAAATATGTAGGGAGGCAAAATTTCCTTCTTGACGGAAGAAGGCAGTGAAGTGTTTATTTTGTTACAAATTGGTGAAATTTCTAAATTTTTCCGGCGCTTTTTTGGCGGCGATAGAATTCTCTCAAAGGAGGGGAAAATAGGAAAAAACGGAGTGAGTGATTTACAACGTTCATACGCACACACACGAATAGAGAGTGTAAAATCTACAGCAAGTGAAGTGTGGAGGAAGCGAATGAACGAAAAAATCGTTTCCACCAATACAGAAAAGAGTGCTCAGGCCAAGAAGTTTCCGTAGTGCGAGGAGGGTCGAAATAGTAAGAATAACACCGAAAAGAAAAATATGCTCACAGTGGTAGTGTGGTTGATTCATGGTTACTTGGAAGGCGCTTTTATTTGGCGTGTGCAGTGATAAAAAATAGAGCAAAAAAAAAGAGCGAGAAAAGCGAATCAATTTCTACGAACGTACACACGGCTAGCAGTGTTCGAATGGTTCTAGCGGTGCTTGCGCTGCGTAAAGCGCCCATTACACATGTCAATATATTGACAATAAATTGACATACTGACAATATTATTGAAAAGGTGATATTGATGATGATGATTGATTCCAAGTATTGACGAAAAGCTGATTTTCATTTCACTTTGTCAATACTCAGAATATATTGACCAAAAAAAACAGTTAATTCTATCAATATCATCATTATACGAATATTGACGACATCAATGACAATACGTTTGAAGCCTTTTAACCTCAATGTATTAAAGTCAATATTACTTGTCTCAATTTCCCCACACAAGAAACGTGGATCAGCGGGTCAAAAGAGAAACGACGTTGCTGGACCTATGGAAAATACTAACTACACACTGAATTCGGATAACCTAAGTTGGTAATATTTTACCCGGTTTTTGAACTACTGATGAAGTCGGTAACATTTCAAATTACCATTACTCGTAAGAAATCATTAAATTTGACACATTATCATTGAATTATTTTAAATAGGTACGTACAATTTTGACGAGTTGAGCGCAAGTGAAACGTTTGACGTTTAAGCGTTTGACGTTTAACATGTTTTAGCGAATATTCGGTTCAGTTTACCGAGTTTCTCGGTTTTCACGTACCGAATTCGGATATGTCGATACTTCACCGTACTTTTCGGTTCAGCCTTCATTTCTATCTGTCAAATTTGTCGGGTCTGATTCGATAAATACGCCTGAATTTTTTTTTAACCATTTATTCGGTTTATCATTTTTAACCGAAGAGGTTCGATAGAAAATTAAACCGAGTTCGGTATTATTTTTTAAGTGTGTGAGTACTGCGAACTAACTCAAAATGCTTGTCATCTGGGAGCCGAGTCAAACTGTCAATGGAATGCAGTTTCCCAAGTATAAACTATTATGCTGATGTTTTGGTAAATATTCCTAAAGGAAGAACTTGCATATATTACTTAATTTCGTACGTGTACCCTAATAAAAAAATACCATAAATGAACGATAACCTAAATGGTTGAACTATTCCACTAATGGTTTGCAAGATACCCCGAATACGTTGTTAAGCAAATTAACCATAACATTTTTATTAGGGTAGGCATGTAAAACGCAGATAGTTTTATTTTATTTTAAAGTAAAAAAAAAAATACATGATTATGCTTGTTATTTTGTAGCAAATGAACATCCATATAGACGAAGCCTGGGTAGAGATTGGCGACTGTAAAAGGATACTTTTTTTATTTAGTTTGATATCCATTTTATATCACACACGAAGATTTAAACAAAATGGCAACACTGCATGCGTGAGTCAGTCGGTCTAAATGACGTACGTTCTCCCTCCTCTTGGGTAGGGGAACAATATTGAGAAAGTGAAATGAAAATCGGTTTTCAACAATACTCGTCATCAAACCATCGTTATCAATATAACCTTTTCAATAATATTGTCAGTATGTCAATTTATTGTCAATACATTGACCTGTGTAACAAACGCTTTAGTATATCGTCATTAATGTTGTCAATATTTATACATTGATTATATTGTAAGGAAAATTGACAATACGATGTTTGTCAATATATTGACATATGTAATGGGCGCTTAAAGATTCTGGAGCGGAGAGGGCCGAGATAACGAGAGGGGAAGTACGTGTAGCAGACAAAGAGAACACTCTCAGTGGAACCAACTTCTCTAGGCTGGAGCTTAGGAATACAGATGTAAGGCATTCTGTGTGATTGTATGACTGCGAGTTTTCTGTATGTGAAAGTGAAAAACGTGAGAATGAATGTATGGAATGGAAGCGAATTGAGTATCTAGGATAATATACGTTTACTGGACTATTTGGATTACAAGGAATTATGGTAAGTGATTTTAATTTAATCTTACGCTGTTTCTTTTATGATTAGCGCTGGCACTCTGCCTCCTGGACGTTTATACGTGTGTGATTGGTTCGCTTGCAAAAAAAGTGTTTTCGAAAGAAATTGTTTTGTGTCCCGGGCGCGATAATTTGATTTGAACGGCGCTGATCTATTGTTTACTATGTGCATTGCTTTGGTGCACAGAGTGACTAGAAAAAAAAGTCCCGTCTTGGGCTGCGGCCGGAGTGGACACGACGCGACCAATTGAAGAGAATATATATTTTTATTATATTATATTTTTAACGTCGTGTAAGAGTAGAATTTAATGAGGGAATGGGCGCTTTTCGTGGCTTTTTTGTTTCCAGGTTTGGAGGATCGTTGGTGGTAGAGGCTTGTTCTTGTGTGGGGGGCGCCGCCGTGGAGTTTGAGTTTGAATGGATCCCGGGTCCTATTATATTATTATTATTTATTCAATGATACATATTTAAAAAGGAGCAAAACAAACTGGAAGAAGCAAGTAGCATTGTTTGATTTTCACAAATGTATGCATACCGTTTTTAGTGCAATTAACCTTTCTATTTTTCCTTTCTAGGAGACAAAATTACATTACTTGTTGATATATTTATTTGTACACTTGTAAATACTTATTTAATCCGATTCGGAATATGAGGCTGGATTTATTGATTTAAATCTTTAAGTTTATTTTCAGCTCTTCGATGATGGAACATTTTTAAATTAATATTATAATGATTCACTTTTATCAGCCTTCGTTTAGGAAAATACAAAAACATTGTAATGCATGATTACAATGGCATGAAAACTGTTAACTGTTATTGATTCTTTATTAAAGTTTACCAATATTTTTAAAAGCATTCCATATTGCGTTAAACCATTCCATGGTGCATAATAAAGAGTTAGTTCAATTTCAATAAAATATCAAAAATTGTAATAACAAAATGTACTGCGGTTAACTTAAATCGAGCTTATGTGTATTTTGTAATACTTGTTTATTTTACATGCATTATATTTTATATATTGCATGACTAGTAAATTATTTTTATTTCACATATTTAAAATCTCATTATATCATTATAACAATATTTTCATTTACAGAAAATAGTTGTCCTGCAGATACTGATGGACCAGAAGGTGTATCGAATAGCAAATCATTGTTATTTACATTTTATTTTATTATTATATAATATGATCTATGGTTTTCAGAATTTGGACTACCCAGAGAATAAATTGAATATCATCATACATTAGGCCAATGTTTTTAATTTGTTTGTTCGCTCTTTCAAGAATTATTCATTGTTACTTCTTTTTATAAATCTTGTATGCACAAATATCCTCGATTATGTAGCTAATTGATTCTTTATTTAAATTGTGGATTAATTAAAAAGGTAAAGTTGAGTTCATACCACGACCAATGATTTATAAATAACAAAACTTGTTTATTTTTTTTTATATGTTGCATTTCACTACATATATTATATAAATTATACATTGCATGATATATTATTACTATTAGCTTAATATTCCAGTTACCCAAGCAAGTCATCGAAATTAATATGAAGCTGATGAAGCAGAGGAAACAACAACATTAAATAAGATTATATTTTTCGTCTGTTAGTTATTCATTACAATTTTTAGCATTATTGTTAGTACCATTCGAGCAAAATATATTTAATTGCCTTATATATCCTATACATTTCAGTGCTGCATCCACCTGCCATTGCAAGCTGAGGAGGTATAGAGCTGCATCTTATTATATGTAAAATACTTCTTCATTGCAGTAGCAACTATATTATCCATATAAATGTATTTCATTATGTCATATTTTAATGTTCTGATATATTTCATTTCTCCATTGCATATATTTTCATTATATAAATAAATACTGGGTTGGGAGGGACCATCAGGGTATCATTCAAACTGAAACTGGACGATGGTATGATTGACAGCCGGAGTCTAGGAGGGAATAAACACTATCATTTTCTTTATCCTACCGATTCGATTGTGGTGGTGTGAATTCTACTCCAACAGTTTCAGGGCGATTGACGCGCCCTTCTTAACAAACCATCGAGTAGGGAGCTTAATAAGTATTGCGAATTGTGTTATTCGATTTGTTGGAGCGTATCGTAGGAAGGAGATTCTTAAATTCCCGTGGATTTCGCGTAAGTGTCTCTGCTTACGGGTCCACCCTTCCGTTTTTGGCCCTTCATACAGCGATATAGTGAATTCAAATCGGTAGCTCAAATTGATCTTGCTATTAAGTGGAGCTGCATACAAGACAAGTCTTGAAAGGATGGTGGCTACCTTACATACATACATATTAAAAAACCATTTTCGTATTTTCGCCTGTTTGAAAAAGCACTCAAACCATCATTTATGAAATATATTTCCGATATATCCATCACAAATTCAATGTCGTATTTTTATTGCCTATGATGTTTTCTGATTATATACTCATTCAAAGGTTCATATTTAAAGAACTGAAAAGTTTGAGTTTCACGATTTTTTTTTCTATATTCTTCGAGCATTATCAAAGTAGGGTGATTGATTCTGGTTGGACCTATCCAAAAACTAATGATGGTTGGACCTACTTTTCAAACGCTAGTTTAGTCAATCTTCACTAATTTTTTTTTTCAAAAATCACTTTACTATTATAAAAAAAAAAACCCTTTTTCTTCAATTTGCATGGGTGTTTTATTGAAAAAACTTCAAAACAATTGAATTTCAATGTGTTTTCAAAACAGTTCACTTTCCACGCATTATTTCGTGATCATGCCTTACTTTCAAACATACAAAAAAGGAATATTTTTTACATTTATTTTTATTTTCATGCAGTAAAAAAATGCTTTAAGGTGTACAGGGTGATTCAGAATAATTGTCACCGATTTCACAAATATTCAATTCTCAATGGGTAAAATGGGTATATGTTCAAGTATTTTTGTTTTAAATGTGTACAAATATCAGCTTGTATTGATAGTAGGCTTTGAAATTTCATTCGTTTGTGATTTCAAGCAGCCATTGACGTCATAATGAAGCATAGCATAAATCTGTAAAAAAATCGTGTGTTATCTTTAAGAAACTGAAATCTCTTCGAAAGAATGTAACATTTATTTTTGCATCATTATAGAGGTACAAAGGAACCATGCTTGGAAAATCCGTTCAATGTCAGAGCCTGAACGCATCACCAGGACTCAAAAAGTGCTGGAACTAAAGCGTGCGTGCCAGCTGTGGTTAATTTTCATGACAAATGTGGCAGGTAATTAAGGTAAAGGGAGAGAGATCTGAAATAAACTATGCTTAGTTGAAGGTTAGATATGTAGAATATCTGGAATATAATGATATCAAAAATTCATGCAAGCGTTAAATCGTTATGACCATTTCTAAAAGGAACAGCTATTCCGAATCACCCTGTAAACAATACGTTAGTACGCCATTTATCCATTGGTTTCACTAAAATGTTTGAATAATTGACGAAATTCGAAAAGATAAATATGATCATGGTTGGACCTATGCATGATGATTGTTGGACCTATGTGTTTTCTAAGACGGCCACTAGGTGCGCTTCGGTTTGTCTATATCCTTCATGCGCAGCTGATTTGAAATTCGATTTCGTTTTAGCCGAGTGATCAGTTTCTTCGATTGAAAAAATGGCTATAGAAAAGAGTTATACGGTCGAAAATTTTCAAGGGGCTGTTCTTTTAGTAAGAAATAAATCACTTACCGCGTATCAGGCACATAAAAGGTACAATATTCCGAAAAGCACACTTCACGTAAAAATTAAGGGAAGCCACGGCAAGAAATATGGAAGGAAAATAGTGTTGAGTGTTGATTTGGAGAACCAGCTAGTGGATTGGGTTTGTATGTGCGCTGCTTCTGGCTGTGCCAAGACGGCCAAAAAGATCTTGGAAGCTGCTAAAGACCTTGCGTCACTAGTTGGGCGTAAATTTAAAGGAGGAATTCCATCGTCAGGTTGGCTGAAAGGGTAACCACCGATTTCCGAACTACCACGAAAGCGCCGGAAGAATCTGTTAATATGAATTTACATTAAGCACTTCTCATACACCTTCTATGTGTGAATTAACTTGAAATAAAAAGTTAACAAATGGCTAACTGAAACTTATTTCCGAAAAAAAAACTCCTAGGAGAAAAAGAACTATAAAACCGGAATTAAGTTCTGATATTCTGTCATTTTAAGCCCCTAAATTCCCCGCGAACAGCCAGAACATGCCCGGAGGTGGCCAATGTGATCCAAGGCACTCAATTTTGTTATTGATATTGTTATCGAATTTGAAAGTAATGTGAAGTGTCCCATGATAGGTTTTATTCCTTCCATGTCAAAATTAGGTCTATGTTCCATAAACGGCCATATCTCCGGAACCAGTTGACCGGTTCCAAAAATATTTGATAGCTTTCAATGGGATCACAATACCTAAAGTTTGACGTTAGAAAATTTCCAAATGGGTCAATGATTTCCGAGAAAATGAGCCATGATGAATAGCTAATGTGTGGAAAGTGAACTTTTTTAAAAACGAAGTTATACTCAAATTTCTTGATTTTTTTAAATAGCAAATTCATAAAAGCTGTATAAAAAGAGTTGTTTCATTATACCAATAAGTTTTTGAACCAATATGGGCTAAACTAGCATTTGCAAAAATAGGTCCAACCATCATCATTTTTTAGGTCCAACCAAGATCAGTATAGGTCCAACCAACATCATAATTCTTTTCTAAATAAAAACGTTTTATAAAATCATTTGTTCATAATATTTAACTTTTTTTGTTATTCTTAGAGACAAGAAAGGTTGATCTTTCCCCTAATCACACATTTTTTATAATTATATGTTGAATTCATAAAAAAAATACGACATGAATGTTGAAGTCGTGTGAACCCGGCCTAAATAGGTCCAACCATCATCAGTTACCCTAACTCCAATTTAAAATACTGATGTTCGGTCACACAACTTAAAAAATAGTGCAAATGCTTTAATTTCCGTTAAACAAATAACTAACGAATTAAGTCCTGGATCCTCAGTACTTGTTTTAAAATTATAAAATTTAAAAAATATTCATTGCTGCAAAAAAAAATTAGAATTAACTTTAAAAAACTATCAATGTTACCCCGTTTTACGGTACATATAATAAGCACTGCGTTAACATTGACTTTGCAGTGACAAAAACCAAATTAAAGCAATATTTTAATTCCTCGCATAACGTCAACTAGAAATAATGTTTTAACTCGACATATTATAAAAAATATAAACAAAGACAAAATTGTAAAAATAGGACTTAAGACAACAATTGTAAAACGGTCTACAATAAAAGTTTCAATTAGATTGACAGAACATAGTTGCATTGCTTTTCAATGACGACAGATCATTGATAGATGACTTTTTTAGAAATTTGAATCCTCAGTAGACGTGTTTTTTAACAAAGACAAGTAAACTCGAGCCATCCAAAATGTTCGTTATTTTATAATTGCAATTGCAAACACGTCTACTGAGGATTCATATTTCTAAAAAAGTCATCTATCAATGAAAAAGTCATCGGTCGTCATTGAAAAGCAATGCAACTATGTTCTGTCAATCTAATTGAAACTTTTATTGGCTCTGTTGTCTTGTGGATTTTTGCAATGCCAAAATCTTTTTGCATGTTGCATCAGTACCTACGAGACCAAGCTGTAACTCATAGGCATATCACTCGTTCGTAGGCAATGACTTCGAAAATGGAGGTCAGTTCGTGTTTGGCTTTCATCGTTAGCAGTTCAGCTCATGCCGTGCTCTATATATGCGTTTTTCGACGTATAACTACGTCTTTGTCGACTATACTATGGAGCAAATCAAATATGAGTGGTGAAATAGTGTTAGGTTTTAAACGCTTGTAACATTGTCATTTATAGATGAAATGAAATCAAAATACGCAAATCGATAGGATATTAAATTACAAATCTGCTGAAATAAATATTTTTTTCCGATTTTCCGTAATAAAACTTTTGAAAGTGTACAAATGATAATTTTATCACTATTTTCATGAAATAAACGTTTTTTCCAAACCCAGTCGTCATAATCGAGTTTGCACATCGTTCTGAAAAGATACAAAACAGAGCTACTGTCGTGCCTCTGCTCATTACTGGCGTGGCGCTTGGTCCTGCAGTAAGCAGGAGCAAGTCAGCGGTTACAGGTGGATCATGGCGTGATCACCTTGACAACCATCTATGTTATGGTGGAAGGAGACTTGGGTCCCGTTCAACGAAGGGACTGTTAATTAACTACGTAGACAGTTTGGAAGGGAGGGGTGTTGGCAATTATCCAAGAACCAAAAAAAAAATTGGACAATAGTCTGCAGGGGGAGGGAGGAGGGAGCAAGAATCCCAAAAAACTGTTTACGTAATAAATAAACAGCGCCTTATATGAAATGCGGAAAACTTATTTATGCAAAACACCCCCTCCTTATAACCTGAAAAAAACATGGACGATCAGTTTTTTTCTGGGAAATAGGGGAAATGGATGTAATGTCAGCCCATACATAAATTCAGCTATCGACTAAATTTTCAATAGCGACCAAAAATATCCATTTGTACCATCCCAATGACGTGTTCATCTAGATAAAATTGATAAATAGCAGATTTTTAGCGATGTGTCCATAGGCCTACATTAGAGCCATTTCCCTTAATTGTTAAGCAAACTACAATGTAGCAAAAAAAAGTTTAATTCCGTTAATTTTTTATCCGCTTCCAGGGAGCTTCGAAAGTGAGAACAAAATTGCTCACGATATTTTGATGTCGTAAAAAATATCTGGTACCTCTATATATGCAGTTATATTAATATCCGAAGTCCATCCTTTTTTACATATTCTGCACAAAAGATGCTTTCTGCCCCGCCCCATTCTTACAAAAACGGCGGGAAATCAGTGGTATGTATTGTGCAGAATATGTAAAAAAGGAGGGACTTCGAATGTAATGTTTGTGCAGAACATGTAAAGAAGGAGAAGATGTTAACCTAAATGCATATACCGTTAATCATAGAGAAAAAAAACTCTATCTACTGTTTCCAAAGCGCAATTACTCAGAAGTGCTTGTGTGAGAACATTATTCATTCTTTAGTATTATTAGAAACTAGAAAGTTAGACTTTTTCACCTTACATCATGTCCATGTTATATTCATAGAAAAAACACGGCATACGTTTAGAAAATGACATGAACAGATCCAACTAAAATCCATTGGTGCTCAGCACGGAAAACAAGATCGACGCAAAACAAATTAAGGAAAAAAAAATGCATCAAGTATTGAAGTGGTACATACATATTCTTGCAATGACTGAATACCACATGACCATGTCAATGAAACAGAAACAGTTCGAATTTGAGCAAGAAATTCTTCCAAAAAATGTTCGCTTTTGACGTAGGACAACGTCTGTGATTTCTAAATGGAGGTACACTTTGTGAAAACCGAAAATGGAACATGTAACGAAATTATGAAAGATTTTAAACGTTAATAACTCAGATGGCCCTGGACCAATTTCAAAATTTTTATCACCAATAAATCAGAAATATTTCTACGCATCCATCGATAGCAACGCTTCCGACTGTTGATTTTAAACAATAAACTATTGAAAAAGTGATAAATGTAAAGCAAAAGCGTCGAAATATCTAACAAATCCACCAATTACGTACATGCATATGCTGCTTCCCCAACACTGTTATCAGAGAGTCGTTAGTAAACGAAACAAGTCGAAGTGGCATTCACCTCCGATTTTCAGGCGTGTGAAAATAGGGAGGATGCAATTGCATAACATTTTGCTCACTCATCGCCACTGAGACCACACAAAATGCTCTGCAGAATTTTAATCTTGTAACCAAACTTGGAAGCAGGGGTGCAAGTGATTTTGATCGATTCTCTTCATCGACTTTCTGTTTCGTTAATAACTCGACGGCAAACACATTCATTGATACGTTTGTTGTTGTGGATGATAGAAGAGCATAGCAGAAATAGTGCGAAATAGGTTAGTGAAGCCATGGTCATCAAAAGAGGAAATCGTTGAAGAGAATTGACTTTCATCCCTCTGCTTCTATGCCCCTTAATTCAGTCGTCGTCATAGCAATAAAAACGCTTTTGCTTCTTGGATTACACTTGCTGATTGCAATTCTGATGTTCTACATTTTCGAAAGACCACCAAAAAACATGAAATTGCATTACATACTTTCTAGGGATGTGAAACAGGATCATAAATTCGCCGAAAAAAGTATTTAGCGTCTTTCTGCTAAAGGCTAAGATTTACCAACTTGTTTAGAGAAGGAATTTAACGATAAAAACTAAAAAGGGGAGGAGCTTTTGCTGGGTGGACACTGATATTCTGCGGCTTTCCAGCTTGTCACAGACACTACTTCAACCCCTGTCCAGCAGCAGACGGGCCGAGACTCTTGCGAGTGCCTAATTCATTGAACCGAAGAATATGGGATTGTCCGGTCTGCTTTGCTGATTCAGTTGCCTTCCCGTCATCATCATCTTCCAAAGACTTTAAGCCTCTACTACCATTAGAGTTAAATTTCTGAACATGTTGCAACTAAAATTCAGGTCAATCATAGTCATATTAAAGAGTATAAACAGAGAGAACCCCGCTCAAATTCCTAATACTACACAAAACACAAGCTCCTGCTGTAGTTAACAAATAACATTTATTATATAAGACAACGTAGTCCTATGTCACCATTGGGTACAACCCCAAAGGGCTGTCCTTTGTAGGTTTTTCATCAAAAATATTCCTGAACAAAAAAATTCAGGTCAATCATAGTCATATTAAAGAGTATAAACAGAGATAACCCCGCTCAAATTCCTATTCCTACACAAAACACAAGCTCCTGCAGTGGTTAACAAATAACATTTATTATACAAGACCACGTAGTCCTACGTCACCATTGCGTACAACCCCATAGGGCTGTCCTTTGTAGGTTTTTCATCAAACATATTCCTGAACACCAGCAGGATTCTTGCAAAAATAATACAGATTTTAATTTCTAATGCCATGTTCAGCTTAGGGAGCTATAACATGTTACAAGACAATCTTGATGACAGTTTCCTATTAAATAATTATTAAAACATTGTAACGTGTTTTTACTCTGTAGTCTGAAAAATGCATAACTACTGATAGAGTTTTGGAGCATCTCAAATGAATTATTCGAAAAAGAATAAAGGTGATTCGCATCCTATATACTTATAGAGTGCAATAGGTGATTATGAAAGGAAATCTCGACCATTAATTGAATAGGTGCTATCAACATTTAAAAACAAAACTTTATACACCTCAACCACCCCATAAACCGAATGCCACCCATGCAAATCAATGATATCATGATAGGCCCTTTTAAATTTTTGGTCATGAAATGTCATCCAAACTGTTTGTTTACATCATAATCATATTATTTTTTTTCAGATTTCCAATCAAAGATGTACATTTGGCGCTCTGTAATTTTGCAAGCATGTAAGTTGAATATAATACCTAAGCCAGTCTAAGCCTATCCATAAACCATGACAGTTTTTATAAGTCACGCAAAGGGTGAAACAAAATCTATCAGTCGAACTGTCATATTGTCATATTTATCATATTTGTATTTATTTTTCAACATCAACAGACTCAATGTAGCCCCAATGATGAAATAACTTAAAACTTAAAGTGAAGGTCACAAATAAAAAAAAAACATTAATTAAACACTGATACACATTACACACAATCATTAACGGTTCACAAAGCCTCCAAAAAACAAAGATAAACGTCTCCGTAGCATCTGTCGTGGCAGGTGAAAATCTGCAACCCACCGTTCTGCACCATTCATGCCATAGCTAGAGTCGGTGTATAATGAGTCTCGCCAAGAGGAAAACAGTTGAACTCGCATCACGGTTTTCGAAAGATTCCCTTTCTTTTAACTTGGCAAAAGAGGACTTCTGCATCAACTTCAAATGACTTTTAGCGAGGAAAAAAATTAACGGCTGTAGTAAATCATTATATCAGTGATTTTGTCGAATTATCTTAAATAAAAATAGTAGAAATTGTCATTACTGATCATTACAAAACGTATCGCATGACAAATGTAATGCTCACTGCGTGTCATATACATATCTGCGTTTCATATATTTCTTCGATTATATTTTATATTGATTTGCAGTACCTTTCGTGGACTTGTTTACTTTGCACGATAGGTAGCCGGTTTGACAGCTCAATAGGTAGACTTGGCTTCACTCTTGGCGTGACTCATTATACACCGACTCTAGCCATAGCTTGTGCGATGAAGTGGCAACCTCAGCATTAAGTATCCAGAATTTTCAATGGACATTGGCGTCAATCAACTTTAAGTGCAGGATATTTTGTAGGCTTTAAAGAACTTAGACGCCTCAAAAGGTTCTGGACCTGACAGAATTCATCCAATATTTAAAAAAAGTCTAGCAATGGCACTCACTGCTCCATTGTTTTGGCTTTTTAATGTCACTGGAATCCGGAACCTTCCCAAAAATATGGAAAAGCTCATTTTTAGTATCTATTTTTAAGTCGGGCCGGAAAGCTGACGTACGTAATTATCGTGGAATAGCCATTATCTCTTGCATTCCAAAGCTTTTCGAAGCCATTGTAAATGAAAAATTATTTCTTCAAACCAAAAATAGAATTACTGACATGCAACACGGCTTATTTAAAGGACGTTCGACCTCGACAAATTTACTTGAATTTATAGACTATACACACTAGGATTATTTCACCGAAATCTGTATAATTTTACCAAAATCTCGACACCAGAACTTTCGGTTAACAGTTTGGTGATTTTTCACAGTTTTCCTATGATTTTTCACAGATATTCGTTGGAAAATTACTGAAATCTGTGAAAATTCACCGAACTGTTTACCGAACGTTCAGCTGTTGAGATTTCGGTAAATTTTCACAGATTTCGGTTAAATAGTCTTAGTGTGTACATTAAATGCAATGGATAATGGAAACCACGTATACGGACTTTAGCAATTTGACCGAATTAACATACCAATGCTACTCTTAAAATTAAAAAAAAAAATGGAATCGTGCCAGGACTCCTGAAATGGCTTGAATCATCTTTAACGGTCAGTTGGCGGTCAGCCAACAAATAATTAAATTCAATGGAAAGAAATTGGCCCCAATTAAAGTCACCTTAGGAGTCCCCCAAGGCTCTCATTTGGGACCTTTTCTTTTTATTTAGTATGTAAATGACATTTCGTTCATTCTCAAAAAAATAAAATTGCTAATCTATGCCGACGACATGAAGCTCTTTTTGGAAATAAGAAATGTTGAGGACATCAATATATTCCAGAGTGAAGTACAGATATTCTACACATGGTTTAAAAAAAGCCTATTAGAACTGAACGTAAAAAAAATGCAACTTAAATTCATAAATAATCATAAGTTTAGCTGAAAAAGAACACCATCAAACATTTCAATTGCATTAGCAATCAGAATGTAGAAAAAATGTGAAAGAGTTAGGAATTTAGGGATTATCTTGAACTTTCATAGACCATTACAATAATTCACAGGGAAAATAACATGCTAGGCTTTAGCAAACGCTTTTGCTATAACTTTCAAGGCCCATACACAATTAAAACACTATATATTGCCTATTTTTTTTAATAACTACTAAATTTGTACAGGCTCAATTGAATAAACTTTACATAGCCGAGTTATCATTTTCGTTATACATTATTACTGTCTTATATTTAAAGTTAAAGGGACTGGACCGAGTACTCTCGGTTACAATTTTTTGGATGGGAAAAGGGAGAAGGAGGTTTGAAATGTGGTTTACGATACAAATATTTAATTAATCCTAAAACAAGAAATTATTCCTAGCGGCGCCGGTGGTGTAGTGGTAAGCGTGATTACCTCTCACTCCAGCAGGCCTGAGTTCAATCCCACTCGGCGCCGCCGGGATGTTCTGAGGCATAACATCGCTGATCACGGAAGTAAAGCCATTGGTCCCCGGTTCATGAGTTGATGGGTCGATAGGTAGGGTCCAGGTGAGGAAGCTGCCTCCCTGGCGTCGGTAGCATTGGTGCTCAGCACGGAAAACAAGATCGACGGAAAACAAATCAAGGAAAAAAAAAAGAAATTATTCCTATTCATCTTGAAAAAACATTTAAAAAAATCCACACATACAAAATACAAACTAAACTAATCAATCTTACAATCTAAGGTAAACATATATGAGTTTCATAAACTCCAGATCGCGTCTAGCCAAAATATCCCGAACTGGAACATTATGTTGGGAATCATAAAAATGTGATTGACTCCCCGATACTCCGCACAAGACCAAAGGATATGATCAGCGTCCTGGTAACCTTGTCCACATTCACAAAGATTGCTGTCTCCCAACCCCACACGGAACAAGTGAGCGTTTAGGCAATAGTGATTGGACATGAGACGAAACATCACACGTATGAAGTTTCGACCCAAGTCCAACCCTTTGAAGCATGCAAACTTCGACACCTTAGGGATAATTGAATGTAGCCATCGTCCCAAGCTCCCTTCACTCCATTAATGTTGCCAGCTAACGAGCGACTGCTGACGATAAATAGAGAAAAATTCACTATAGGCGATTTGTCGATCATAAATGTCGCCCACCTTCGCAAGTGAATCCGCCTTCTCATTGCAGTGTTTTACCGGCCTAATGGAACGGATAGCCTCGACAGAACTTAGACTATCCGTAAAAATAAAGTAGTGATCTGGAAGAAGTGAAGCAATAGTTTCCAAAGTGTAGTGAATTGCTGCCAGTTCGGTCACATACACAGAACAAGGAGCTTCAAGTTTTCGAGAGGCGCTATGAAATTCATTAAATACACCAAAACCAGCGGACTCCTCTATTAGAGATCCATCTGTGAAAAAAGTTCTTGCATGACGGAGCAATCATAGGACGATGATGCTCTGGAATTCCGCGGATTTCCTGCGTCATAGATAAATCAAAATTCACTGAATTGCCGAAATCGGAGAAGACTATACGATTGGGGATATTCCTTGAAGGGCTGACATCCTGTGTAAAATATAGATAGTAGAAAGTCATAAAACATGTTTGAGAATTTAGCTCCAGAAGCTTCTCAAAGTTTTCGATCACCAGTGGGTTCATTACTTTACAACGAGTGAGGAGCCTCAGAAATAACTCTGAAAAACGGACAGATAGTGGCAACATGCCCGCCAGCACTTCGAGACTCATAGTATGAGTCGAGTACATGCATCCTAAGACCAAGCGCACTGGTGCGTTGTTAAACGCAATTCACTAACCACACCATGACACCATCATAACACGACACCGCACCGGCAGTTGCCAAACAGGTTGGGAAAAGAAACTTACACGGCGAATGAGAACGACTCAAATTTGAGTTTAGTTCACTCATAATCGCCAAAAGGGCATGAACGCCCTAATAAAAAATAACCATAAACGAACGATAACCCAAATCATTGAACTATTCCACAAATGGTTTGGATGATACCCAGAACACGTCGTTAAGCAAATTAACCATACAATTTTTATTAGGGCGCAGCGATGAGTTAAATTTGTCTCATGGTTTCCTGTGGAAAACCTAAAAAATCTGCCGGAAAATGAGGAAATTGACGAAAATGTTATTCAGTCTCGGAGTAGTACCCATAGGCTGAGTGAATCCAATCTTTAATTTTCTCCAATTCGGGATTTTTTCCCTGGAAAAACCTGGGAAAACATGAGGAAAATTTACTCATCGCTGAGTTCCTGCACTTTTGGCGATTATGAGTAACTAAACTAAAATTTGAGTCGTTCTCATTCGCCGTGTACCGTTTCGGTGAACAGTGGGTGTGCTGATTTGGCAACCCGATCCAACGTTGCTATTCGAAGTAACAAAACAAAGTGAAACGCCAAAAGGTTTCTACGAATCTCGAAGCTCGTCTAGCGGTAAAATTTGTTTTCAAGTGTTCTGTATTTAATTTGGCAGAAGTGAAACTAGTGCGAAAATGAGTGCGTCGAAGCCACGGGGAAAGAATTGGACCCATCTGGAAGACGAAGCGTTGTGTCGGGCATGGCTTGATGTGTCTCAGGACGCGATTGTTGGGACAAATCAAAAAGCCGAAAATCTGTACGGGAGAATCTACGAGAAATTCGTAGAAATTTGCACAGACAAGAGCGTCACAGCCCACCCGGAACTACGAGCTCCAAGCGGCTATGAAAGAAATGCTAGTAAAATTCAGAAAGTTAATCGCTCGGAAACACTTGAACTCGCCAAAGCCGGTAAACTATTAGCTGAGGCTGCCAATACAAGGGCAAACGACGGTATCCAACGGACAAAGGCGCTCAAGAGAATCGCGAATCACTCGATCATGTCGGTTGATTTTAGCGGGTTGAGTGATGTTGCCAAGCAATACTATATGCTGGAGCAGCGTCGTACCCTAGAGGAAACGTACCAAGAAGTGGCGTATGCTTCTGAAGAATTCACTATGGAACTCACGGATGC